GTGGACAACGTTAATGACATTGACTGTATATTGTCATACACACATTTACCTTCTTGATAGCCAAAGATTCCAACTCTCATAGTCTTGAACAAGTTATACATTACGGGAATAAAACGGATATATCTTGCAAACTGGTTTTTAATTGAATGTTGTACAATCAACTGGTTTTCTGAATTTCCTTGAAACACCTAAGTAGGGTAAAACGTTCAAATTTGAAAATCCTATATTGTATACCCTTCAGATGTTTCAGTATTCTCTTAAATAGCACGGGTTGCGGATTCCTCATCTTTACAGAATCCCGCGCATACAGTCCTACATCTTACCTTGTTTACTCCATTTTCTTGGTACGTCGTCCAATTTATGTTATTCAGTGATACATTTATCTTGAACGTCATGACCCATTCAGGAGCCTTAATGTTACCCTGTGTTGCTACAGCACAAATAAAGTATGAAAACCCGAGGTCAACCTGTAGGTAATCATTTGGATTGGAGGTTGTCTTTGGAGCCCATCCACGTCTACCAAGTCTACCATCAGATGGCAGGAAATTAGAACTGTGACTCGAACTAGCGGTAAAACTGCTGATAGGTATAAAATATTTGCTTCCACACTCTAGAAAAAGAAATGAGTAGAGTAAATGTATACAGTCAATTCAAAAAACGTTGTCGTCGACCGGCTCAAGCCTACGCGACTGGACCGAAAGAAATATTTGTAAAATTCACTGAAGCGGTTAAATATTCGTTCTGAATTAATTGCTCCCGCTAGTAGTAAAGATAATAATGGCGAGAAACAATTCAATCCGTCAAATGCATGTCTTCGGGTTTAGGGAAAGAAAAATAAAGTAGTTATGATTCAGTTCACAATTTCGAAAATATGAAGGCATTAAAAAAACGTCTTCTTCAACGCTTCCCGCACGCCTACGAAGGTTCGTGCTGTAAACCAGGCATAACTAGTCAGATAAAATTATGGAGTCAACTCGGCTTCAATGATTACTACCCAGAGTTCCTTTCGGTCCAGTCGCGTAGGCTTGAGTTGGTCGACGACAACATTTTTTGAATTGACTGTATGTCACATGTTATATGTTTGCTTGCCCATTGCATAAGAAAGAAAGAAAGAAAGAAAGAAAGAAAGAAAGAAAGAAAGAAAGAAAGAAAGAAAGAAAGAAAGAAAGAAAGA